CAAAGGGAAGGCCAAAGCGAAAGCTAAGGCCAAAGGGAAGGCCAAAGGGAAAGCTTCAGCGAAACCCAAAGCCAGAAAGTCCAAAGAGGGCAAGGGCAAGAATGCTGCCAATGAGGACTGCGAAGCAAAGCGCCAGAAGAGCACTGAGGAGGGTAAGGAGAGCGGGAAGGGGCCTACCTTCGCCAGGCGCTACAAGCCGGTCCCAGAAGATGCAGCGACTCGCTTCGAAGCCATCAAGGACGTGTTCATGTCCGACATCGCCGGCTTGGTGAACCGACAGTCTTTGCTTCAGGACTGTTCCCAGCGTTATGTTCTGTTTTTCAAATCGCCAACTGTTTTTCAAGCCGCCAAGGAAATCTGTTTCGAAGGTTTTAATTAATGTTCTCTTCAAACTCCTTATTCCTCATCATGGGCCTAGCAGGTGTTGACTGTTTGGCTGCAACTGCAGGCCCCGTGGTTTACTTTGTGCACTCGCGCCTTCAAGGAATCGAAGGTGACCACTTACGAAGAGTATTGCAAGGTCGCTTACAAGTTGGTGAAAGAGTTCTTGGACATGGAGACAGTCCGTGCCTAGACTGACTATGTCTTTATTTGAAGCTTTGCCGACTGCTTTTGAAACCTAAATCAAAGCTGTAACCTAGCTGGTGACTTGTGGCTATAGTTATAATCAAATCGCAATACAAAAGCAGCAAGACTAAACAATCCCAATGGTTCTTCTCTGAAGTGATCCCAGGCCCATGCCTGAAGGAAGCCCGAGAGCTGGAAGCCCTTCCGTGAGTCTGTGGTGAAGAGCTTGGTAGAGGACAGCCTTGGATCTGAGCAGCGATTGTCTGCGCATTACGCTGGGGTCTGCGACTAATCCCTGTGCAGTTAGCCAATTGGCTTCCTCTCATGAAGTCCGTTGTTTCATCACACGATTTGTAGCGGAGATTTTGACACCCATTGACACTGGTGGCGCCTTTCTTGGCACGGCAAATTCCATCTTGGATTAGGTTTGAACGTGGAACCACTGAATCCCAACTGCTTAGCATGGTTGTGGGAGGGTGCCCCAGTAATTTGGAAGGCCTGTGTGAAACCACATGCCCTGACATTCTTTGAAACACCTGCAGGTGGCGAGAGTGAAGAGCAGCGCATCCTTAAATGATAGAGATGAAAAACACACCTTCTGCAAACATACCAAGTCAACATCTGGAAACCTTTCGTTGATTTTTTGTCGGCCCTGCCAGGTGCAACATGGCTCTGGGGCTGCAGTGGTTTTAGACACGGCCCATGGAGGACTGGACAACCTGCTAGCTCTCGTTCGTTCGTGCCAACAATCTATCATGCAGGATGTCAAAGCTGCGCAGAGGACAGACCACATTTGCCAAATTTGGCGCTGTGTGTGAAGGTGTGCCCGTCTTGATTTGGAATTTTCTTTTTAGCCACCAAGAGTGGATGTCACTTCACTTAGTGAGCTTTCTGGCTTTGCAACCGTCACGCGCCACCTTGGAACTGCCATTCTCAGGGCTTGGCTCAAGGTTCCTTTGACATCGATCGCCATGACCATCACAAAGGAGAGGTTGGATCTTGCCTGCAGGCGTTTGCTGGCCCTTGGAGTGCCTACAGACTCTAGATTTTGTTTTGGAGTTGCGGATTGAAGTAAAGTGGCAAAAGACTGTGGATCAAATCAATAGCAGGTTTGAAGAATCAATACATACACTGGTCATCAATGGTCACTACACAAGAGACCAATGGAAAATAGCCACCTATAGTAGTGGGTCATTTTGGGTCCAAGGATTTCATCTACCTCGTGCTCATCGCGTGGTGGCTGATGTCATCCGAGCTGTTTTCTTGGAAAGATATCCAAGACTGTGGCGGTCTTGACTTGGTGGAATTTTTTTCAGGAGTTGGACGGATTGCTACATATGCTCATAGCTGCGGCTTTGTCAGTCGTGCATACGACATCAACCACGACCCAGCTCCAGAAGGATACTCCACGCACTCAGAGTTGCCTAAAAGATCTTCGTTTGACATGAACGGGGAAGCTGGTATGTTGTTCCTCGGAATTGTTACCCTTCCCTTTTGAAAGCCTCCTACTTGAGGGGTAGGGTCAAATTCCCCACGGGTCTGGCAATCCCAGGCTTTGCATCATCATGATCTTACATGGCAAGTGGCCTGGCCTCATTACCACATGGGCAGTGGTATGCAGCAGTTGGTCGCCAGTGAACTTAGCAACAAGCAAACGTACAGAGCTGAACCCCTACGGGGATTGCAACAACACCAAAGTCATTCGCGGTAATCGGATGGTTGCAAGGACTGCATAAGCAACAGTTGCAATTCAAAACATGTTTTGGTGTCTCTCCCCATCTCTCTGCAATCTGTCTTGCAATGATGTTGTTTGTAGAGCGGAAAGGTCTCCTCCATTTGTGCAGGACATCACTGCTCATACTCTTGACTTTTGTTCTGGAGGGCTATTTCTTTCTTGAAAACCCGGGCGGATCAGTGATCTGTTTGCACCCGCGCCTTCGATGGTGCTTTGCGGCAATCCGCCGGGCTGGCGCCAAAGACTTTTGGCCTCAATGAGAGACGGCTTGTGTGCAAATTGCAACCCCCCCCCAACCCCACTGAGAGAAACAAAACCAAAAGGCTGGGCCCATGGTTGGGGGACCCCCCCTCCGGGGGTTAAAAACAATCACACCGCTGTGAGATTTTTGGCCTGAGCACGTATTGCGCAAAAAAACAAGGTCTACAAAGCTGGCTTCCACATGAAAGCCTGTGGAAGCGCCACCGAGAAGAAGACCATGTTGTTGACAAGTTCTCGGTGCTTCCGGCAGTTTCATGGGAAGAAGGCCAAACGTTCTGGCACCAAAAAAGGCCTATGTCGTAAGTACATTGACTCCAAAGGCCGTACAGCCTATGCAGGAACAAAGGCACTCAAGCTGTCACAGTTTCTGGTTTTAATTAGAACAAGGTTTTGGTAGTGGCATCCACCCTTTGAAACTACATGTGGCTTATCAAAGCGTAATTTTGGTCATCCAAGGGTCTATCCGGTGATGTTTGCCAAGTCCATTGTGAAGTTGATTCCCCAGATGCGTTCAGAAGGGTCTTTTACCTTCAACCTCCCTGCGCCTTGTCAAACATAGTTGAAACCGATTATTCAAAAAGAACCTTCGTTCCCGTCCCAACATTTCCGGCTCAGGTAGAGACTGGACCGTCTCTACAGGAGGCCTTGCTCGGAGCGGGGTGGACATCTTGGGATGAGTCATGTCTTGGCCCATGCTTCCTTTATGTATGGGGTTCCAAATTTAGCGATGTCATTCCTCCAGATTGGAAAGACTTTGATGCAGCTGCCAAAGCTAATTTTCCTTTGGGTAGATTCAGAGGGTTTACCTATCTCTGAGAACAAATGTATTGTGTTCGCTCGTTAGTTTTGGATCTGGATAGCCTTTGATGCATTCTTTTCCGTTTTGTTGTATTTTTGAAACGGCGAAAAACCACGACGAAACGGCGAAAAACCACGACCAAACGGCGAAAAAAAAAACAGTGTCTTTTTAACATGCTTTATCTTGACAGAGTTTGGTATTTGTGCCCTCTTCAATTCGATTGCCAATTGGTGTTGCGACTGGTAATGGCCAGCCTGGGCGTGTTGATCTTCGCGTCTTGGAAAACACCTGCGGCGGGTCATCGCAGTCGTTGCAAGAACTAGATGTGAGCATTTGAGAGGTCAATGCAATGTAGAAGACAAGGTTTTGATTTTGTCGGATTTTGTGAACTGCTTCACCTGTGTTTTTTTATCAAGGGCATCTGTAGGGAAGTGGTGGCCTGTACGATCACACAGTCCCCTCTCAATCCTACATGGCTGACGGCCGGCTGGGAAACTCGTGGTCAGCGGAGACGCTACTCCGGGGAGTACGCAGTGTTGCTGGCCAACCCTCAGCAGAGCTGAATCCTTCAAGTGACCCTGAGTTGGTTCGTGAGCTGCAGGTCCAGGGTTGGAAACCTGTGATGTTGTTTTCTATTTGGGGATCTTGGAGATGTTGTCCTTTTTTCCCATAGATGGTGTTACAAAGGATAGGTAGAAAAGCACAATGCACACACTGGGAACCGGTCGCTTCACTCAGCCTCTAATGACTCTAGTGTAAAAACAAATACTTGTCTAAAGGAGTCGTGTTTTTGCAGCAACAAGTACTGGTTGACAAAGGTTTACCGCTACCATTTAATCATAGATGCAAAACAAGGATGCACCACTTGCGGTAGTCCTCCAACCCCTCCCCAATGTAGGCGATGAAGCAAGAGATTTCAGAGCTAGACCAAAGTATCTCTGAACAACTTCTGCGGGAAGCTGGGCTGGAACCTGAACGCTTTGCCTTTGCACTGGATGCTTCTTCAGAGATACCGATTTCGGAGCAAGAGACTGTTCCAGGATCACCAGTCCTGGCCCTTCCAGTTCCTCCAGGTAGTACCTCTCAACCCCAAGGAATCACAATCGAACTGACAGACTCCGACGTTGAGACTGAACTTGAAGATGCAGAGACAGGTTCTCAAAGGACTCAGCATTATGAAGCTGAAGGTCAAGTTCCAGTTGAATCAATTGTTCCTAGGATCGGATTATGTGTCCTTTGGTTCAATACAACAAACTGGGATCTGGTTTGCATGTTTCCTCCGTGCTGAGGCTATTCCCCGGGTAGAGGCCACTCAGACTGGAGGGGGCGTCGCCGAAACCCCTGTGTCTCCAGCTGTCATCCCCGAGACCCAGCCAAAGGTCCAGCCTCTGCTCGCTGTGAAGACCCAACCCATTGCCACGCCTTGCCGTGCGGCAGCCAGTGAAACCAGTGACCATGGCTTGGGTCATGTTCCTTTTGTGGGGGACAAAGGTGCAGCCAGTCCAGAATCTGGCACACTCCTGATATCAGAAAATGCTATCAATTTGAGATTGAGACGTGTTTTCTTGCCAAACCCTAGAACAGGGGAGTACAGGGTTGCTGACAACATCCGTAAGATGTATCAAGACAAGAAAGGCAAAGGAAGGGACAAGATCTTGAAGGTCTTTCAAAGCTGTGGTTTCGATGGGGAGATGGTTGATGTCAAAACTGGGGGAACTGGGGATCAGTGTTGTGGCGTTTTGCGAGAAACAAAACACAGCAATAATTAGACAACAACTGTTGTCGCAACGTCGCACCCCAAAAAATGACTATGTGACAAGTTACAAGTTTGTTGACTTTTGTTTGTTCTTGCAACCATATTGACTGATGGTGCCCTGTAGGAGAGCTTCGTGCAAGAATGCGAGTTGTTATCCGAAGAGTTGCTTAGCAATGAGCTCTCAATCGAGGGCGAGTTCGTCAGCGAAAGAACCATGCTTGACGAATGGGGTTGGTCGCCGTGATTTGGCTACATTGGAGTGCTCTTGAAATTAGACTTGTTCAGTTCCCTGATCGGTGTTTGATTCCAACTAGTTTCATGACCACTGAGTTGTACCAAGCCCACCAGCAATGTTATTTTTTTTGCAAGCGGATTCAGGCAACGGGTGGCTGCTGTGAAGAACATTGCGGAAGCTGATCCAACCAAATTGATGAGGCTCGGAAGGGGGGCAGATTAAACATCAGATCGACGCTCACTGCTTCTTCATTCCATGTTTCCCCCAATGCTTCATGGCTTTCTCTGTCCATGGCAGACTTTGTGGACAAGACATTGATTTTCCCTGCACCCTCGAAGGAGAGATCGTTATGAGAAGGACTTAGTTCTTTATTGGGCGGAAACCGCAGTGAAAGGGAAGTCCAAGTGTCTTGGATAAGAAAGGATGAAGGGAACTTCCATAAATAAGTATACACTCAGGTTGAATGCATCTGCAAAGTCTTTGGCAAACTAGTTTGACCAGCCTAGGCAAAAAAGCACTATGGCTTTGAAACGCACTGCGCATTGGGATGAGAAAGGTGTTGATTTTTCTTCCTTTACCCAACCACAGCCCTTGGCCCCTGCCAGCTTGCCTGGTGGTTGCACGCCAGCAGTTGATCCTGCACAGCGTGGGACTGGGACCGTGACCAAGAAACGCAAGCAGGAAGACCAACCCAAACCGCAAGAAGAAGAAGAACAAGGTAGGGTATCTATCTTAATGATTTTCTTTGTGAGTATGTAGGGTTCGGAGCTGAAGTAAGCAAACATGTCCCTGCAGATACCAACGACGGACAATCGAACGATGAGGAGGTCGACCTTGCTGATCTTAAGACAAATAAAGCAGCCGCTCTGGAGAAAATGGCAAGGAAACGAGCCGGCATTCCTGAGTTGGAGGTGGATGCACTCCCTAGCTCTATTGCAAACAAACTGATGAGCCTGGTGTTGCTGTAGAAAGGGTTTATTGATTCTATTTTTCTTTCTTGGAGCAAGGGTACTTCTGGACCCTAACACCCTATTCAAAGTTGAATTCGGTGCAATTCCAAAAGAATCCAACGCTCCTTAAAACAATTCCCAAATAGTGTTGCCCAACACACAGCAAGGACATGCTTAGCAAAGCGGCAGGGAAAGCTTCAAGATGGCTTGGACAAATTTTCTGCCACAGCAACACTGTCAACGCTGCAGAGCCAGATTATTGCCAGCACTATGGTAATAGTGTGTGAGTGATCCTAGCTAGCCGCCCTATAGCAACAACTTGTTTAGGCACCTAGACATGGCCCAAAGCCCAAATCTGACGACTTCAGCCTTTGATCCGAGGATGAAGACCAAGCTCGAATCTGTCATCCGAGACCTTGCATCGAGCAGCGATGAAATCAATGAAAAGTTCACCCATGGGGTTGTCAACGGCTTCTCACCTGAGCCGTGCTCTTAGGGGTGTCTGTAGTTTCAGCCAACTGGCACCCTCTTGGTCATGAATCCCCAAGTCTTAGGTCAGAAGAGGAAATCAAGGTGCTCTATAACAAGGCCAAAAGGCAGTTGGAAACTCAGCGCTGGAAACGGAATGATCCAAGTCCATTCAAGTCATGGTAGTGCAAAATCACCAATGAGGGCTGTGGAAGCTATGAGCCTCGAGACCAGGATGAGGCGGGCCAGTTGTTTCACGTAGAGTCCAACACCCTTTTGCCTGACATGACCGACGACCGACCCAAACACCTTCCCTTTTGAAAGTTTTTCTCTTGACAGGACCGTCATACCAAAGCCTGGAAAGCCGGCGGTTGAGAGGAGACAGAGTGCCCGAGCTACTAAAGCTAAGGGCGCGGCGAAAGCAAAGGCCGATGCCAAGCGGCAAGCTGCCCCAAAACGGGGCAGCAAATCCTGAGAACCAGTGCAGTTTGCCGCATTGTTTTCACAACAGATTCCTCACACTTTGTCTGGTACATGTTGTTGGTTCTAATCTGTTTGCCGCTTTTTGGGTGCCACTTTGGATGGCAATTTCTGAGGGACGCATACTCAGCTCAACAACCTGTGTGAAGTCACGGGAGACTGAGCTGATCAGATTGGGGTGAAAAGTCCTATCACGCACATGTGATAGCTTCAGTCTTGTTCACCGCAAGGGAGTCAGGAACCATGAACCTATAGACTATAGAGGCACACTAGTCATCACAATGCCAGGAACTGATCAGGAAGAACATGCCAACTCCAAGAAGTACTTGGTTGAAGCCTATGCTGAAGCCATCTCTGATGGTGTCCAAACCTCATCCTTTTGACTGTTTGACTTGATCACTCCAAAGTGTTTCACATTCACCCCTCCGACCCTGAGGTCACTGCAGTGGCCACTGAAAGGCTTCGCCAGGGAGCCTTAGGTCGGGAAAGCAAGGCCAATCTTGGCAATGCAGCTCGGGACGGCTATCGCACGATACGCCGATCTGGGATTTCTTGGAAGATTCCCATAGACACCTTGGATTACAAGAAGGTGGATGGCTCGTTCTTGACAACTCACTTCTTGCACCCTCAGAACATCTTAGAGTACTTCATCCAGCACAAACCGATGTTGGTTTGTGGCGCGCAGGATGCTTCAGAAATGGAAATGATTTGTGGAGCGTTTTGGAGCGCCTACAAGACCTTTCATGGTGACCACCAAGTGTTTGAAACCCATTCTGGAAACCTACATCACTGCATTCCCTTGGCACTTTGGGGCGACGAGGGAAAAGGCAAAAGAAGATCAAACACGACTCTTGTTGCTCTGGAAGCTGTCATTGGCTGTAAGGGGAAGCCTTGCAGCTGCACAGACTGTGAACCCAACAGTGATGTCTCACGCTGGGGTCCTCCAGGTGATGATGAGCATTTGGTTGCAAAAGCACTGCGGACAAACATGAAGGGCCATTCGTATCTCCAACACTGGCCCCTTTTCATTGTTCCGGGAACCTTGGCCAAGGACTACAAAGGCTTGACACACAAGCTGGTGGAGTGTGTGTCGTCAGATTTGGAGGGCCTCTTTACTACTGGAATCCAAATTGGGGACCAAAGGTGGTACGCTGCTTTGGTGGCCGCCAAAGGAGACCTGAAATGGCATTCAAAGATTGGGCGTTTTGTGAGGAGCCATGAGAATCAATCCACCAAGCGCGACTTAGAAATGTGCCACCACTGCAAAGCAGGTGGTCCTGGGGTCCCTGCTGAAGACGTTGCAGTCCACCATCCATGTTGGGAGCGAACGCTATGGCTTGAAAGACCGTGGAAGCCAAACGACCCTCCATCAACACATTGCATTCCATAAGACCGCAATGCACCAGAAAGAGTATTTCAACACGACCCCTTTCACACACTACGCATTGGTTTGTACAGAGACTTCGTGGGTTCAGTGGTCTTTTTGCTGATGTCTTGGCAAATGTTTGGGGATGGAGCGCTTCCGGTAAAACTAGATGCTGCTTGGAACAGTTTTTACATGTGGCAAATCGCTGAGGGAAAGAAGGCATCCCTTCGGTCATTTTCCAAGACCCTATTCATGTACACATCGCGTCGTTCATACCCCTGGATCAATGCTAAAGGCTCTGACGTCACTCTATGCATGAAATGGTTGCGGATTGTAGTCTTTGCCTGTCTTCAAGACTGCAACGATGGCGAGAAGACCTTGGTTCTCAACACAATCCTCAGTTGTTGCAAGCTGGGGGTTGAGTTCTTCGATGTGATGAACAGCCATGGGCTTTGGATGAACACTGGTTGCGGTGCTTATTTGTATGAAGTTGGGCACGCCTTCCTTGTTGGATATTCCTGGTTGGCTGGTTTTGCTTATAGAAAACAGATTTGCGTGTTCTCCATCAAACCCAAAGCACACTTCTTTCGCCATATCTTGCTATCTTTGCTGACACAGCTGGAAAACAACTCAAGAGTAGTGCTGAATCCATTAACATTCAATTGCGAACAAAATGAAGACCTGATTGGGAAAATAGCATCCCTTGCGATCAAACTGGACAGCCGTCACAACACCAAAAGAGTGCTTGAGTTCTGGATGGTCAAGTCTTGCATTTTGTATAAAAGACATTTCAGTTCCCGGTGAGTTGTGGCCAAGTTGTGGCTTTGAACTTATTTCTAAAACATGTTGAAGCTGTTGTCCATTCAAAGATGGTGATGTCCATTGTTGTTTGGAACTGTTGCTGAAACAAACTCACCGTGTCCAACAGAGACAAGGCCTGGCAGGAGAAAACACACAGGAAACTGAAAGGACGTTTTTTTGGGCAAACGACGTTACTGAAAGCATGCGGCGACTATTTCTTTCATTTCATTCTTCGATCGTTTATTTTGCACAGGGGAGGTCCCAGGTATGCATCCCACGACCCCTTTTATTTTTCAACGTGACCAAGGTAGGCTTTTCATGGGTGCACTGGCGTTCCATTGTGCATGACATGGTCCCGCTTTCCAGGAGGGGCAGATCGCTGATGAGGCAGCAGAGCTTTTGACTAGTGCCGGTCCCACTCAGCACCCGACGTCAGCAATTGCAGCTCCCGTTTTGGATGGACAAACCATGAACAACACCTTGTACTGATACTCCTTGAAATCATCCAGGAAGTGGATGGCATTGGCCCTTGGATGACCATTTTCCTCAACAAACAATTGGTGAACTCCACTTCCATATTGATCCAGATTTGAACTCGATCAATAAAGCTTGTGGTGCTCTATATAAAAGATTCTAAAATCGTCCAGCCTGGCACGTGCCAAGCTGGACCTAACCTGACCTAATGTGATGCAAAAACGCCCACGCCGAAGCCCAACCAAGGGGTACTTTGGGTCGCCCAACGACGTGTTTCTCAGGAACTGGAGAACTACCAAAAGGAACTGCAAGTGAAGAGCTCAGCATCATTCTCGATTTGCCTGACTTGACGACATGCTCAAACTGAGCCTGTGAAGACCTGCCAACCTCAAAGAGCGAAACCCATGTGCATGCAACTCTCATATGACTTTCGGGGTCGAGGAAGCTTACGACCGCTGCAACCACATAGAGGCCAACTGCGATTGGACGTTCCAGCATTCCAGCACACGTGGGGAACGTCATCGTGCTTCGTCATCTTCCCATCCCTCATCTAACCCATTGGATGGTTGGAAGTCCCGAACACCAAATGGTCTACATTGGGTGACAGAAGGCTTTGGAGCTGCTTTGGACAAAGCATTTGTCCTGGCTATATCATGCCAGGTGTTCTGATAACCGAGTTTCTATCATGCGAGGTTAGTTCTACCTGTTTCTCTCCCCAATCTCCTCTCATGTTGATGTGACTAGATGGGACTTCCTTCTATGCCCTTTAGCTATTTTTAGTTGATAGTTGTCAGCATCCCAGCTCGTGGGCCAACAGCTTCCTAAATGAAATCCACCATTCCGACGCGACGATCCCGTTGAAGTGGCAACCCAGTCGGGACGGTTTCAGAAGTTGTTTGACTCACCTGCTGATGATTGCTCCATTGCTCCATAGCTCCCCGAGTATGTGTGTTACTTGCTTTTCCTGGGAGACTTCGACTTGTTCCGAGCCGGACCGACTCCTTCCGAGCCGGACCGCGTTCCGGCGAACGCCCGCAACGAGACCGGCAGAGCGACCTTTCAGAGGGCCTGCAACCCGGCCCCATCAGGCCCCATCACTGGGCCCTCGTAGTCGGACAAAAACTAAAACCCAAGTCGACCTAGTCCATTGGTAGGCATTTGACATGGGGTGGTTGATGGTGCACTGGAGCATTTCGCGCTCTGCGCGGCTTTGTCAGAAGGTGGGTCCCACTCTGGGTCCCAAGGAATATATGTGGCCGATACCTTGTCCATCCTTGTGCCATATGTCCCACGGGATTTCCTTGTGTTGTGATCATGCCCCTGAAACGGGCCATGTTGCTTGCTCCTTTATGCGCCGTTCCTCGTTCGTCATGAGGAACTCCTCGCAGCTGAGACTGTGACTTGCAAAGCCACCGGGCAGAGAACGGTTTCCCTTCCGGACGCTGAAACAGCTGTGAAACGATTCGTTGAAGGGCGATGGAACGGGCAGGCTGAGAACACGGAGCTCCGAGCAGAGAAAGAGCGCCGGAAACCCAGAGTGATACAGCGGCCTACTTCTGCGGAAGCTTCAGGTGAAAGAAGATTGCTCCAAGTTGGGCGTTGCGAGATGTTCCGAGTTTCTGTTTGTTCGGAGAAGCAGCTATAGTAGATTCAAAGGCAAACGGAAGGGTAGTGCACAGAAAGGGTTTTGCAAAAACCTATTCTACTAACGTCGTGGAAGGCGCGTGACCTTCGTAGAACCCAAGGCTGTTCGTGGACAGTTCGTGGAATGGTGGGCCAGTAGGAGAACTGACTGCAACGAAATCCCATAAACCTTCGCAGAACTTCGTGGAAGGTATGTTTGCTGCACTAACTTCGTATAAGCGATTTGTGCTGACCCCCTTTCTCCACACACCCTCCGTTTAGCCTTCATAGATGTTGCGAAAAGACATGTCAACTGATGTCCAAAGATGTCCAAAGCACCAAAGTTTGGGACTTCGGTCCCTCCTTGATCTTGACCATCCATGATCCATGGAGTTAAAAGATGTCAGAGAGTCGCACTTGTCAGCTGCAAGCGTTTCTCAGAGCAGTTCGATTGTTCGCACAATTGTATATATTGGGCCTGGACTTCTAGATGCAGCAGCCAGATGCAGTAGCCAGTCAATCAGAATGCCAGAATGCCTTTTGAACCGAAACTCAGAAAGTGATTGAACCACAGACGAGCGCAAATCCCCACACTCCGAACCCGTCAATCATCCATCATCGAAACCCATGACTCTGAGGAATCAACCGCAAGCGAGAGCTGGAAGCTTAAGGGGCGCCCCAGATTCCAACAAACATTCACATGATCGACATAGTCTGTTATTTTTGGTAGATTCTCAGAAGGCTGTTTTTTGGGGGGGCAAGTTCAAGATGAAAACCACCCCAACACTGATTCTTGGTTCTTACAGCCGATCAGCGCAGCCAAGAGCTGAGAATATCCTTGTATGTTATAGAACGCCTTGTTCTTTGCGCTCCCCACGTCTCACATCGCGATTTTCAGTATTTGTGACTCCTTTATCCAATAAGAGCTTCCAAGTGATCAACCATGAACTCCTTTTGTTAGTTGGTTTTTGTCACCGGGCATGACAAAAACGGGCAGAGATTTCAGCACTCCAGTCTTCCCCATCGTCCATCTAGGAAGCTGTCCAAACAAAACAACGAGCTCCGAGAGAAGTTGAAGCAATCGGAGCAGTTGCGGCAGGCAGACGGGAGTGGTCCTGGCAGATGGGAGTAATCCCAGCAAATTCCGTGAACAAATCGCGAAGTGGTTCTGAAGTTGGGCGTTCAGCACCTGGTTGATCATTGTAATGCTACTCTGACTGTGTAGATGAAGGGTTTGACTGGGGTTGGTGATGGTTTGTAAATGTTTGTAACATGTTACTAACATGTTGTAACATGTTGCAACTATACATCACGCCGTAGAACTAGGTTGCCCTATTGAAAGCTGGACTGTTGAAAGTTGATACATGCTCTCAGGGTAAAAGTGCTCGTTCAAGCAAAAAGCGCTACAAACACTCAAAAAACACACATGGATCCCTCTATATCCAACCCATGCTGGGGTGGTCCGCCACTTTTCAATTTGCGCTCGTTTTGCGGCATTTTGCGCGCATTTTGCGGGTTTCCAGCTTTGGCCAAAGAAGACTTCAGTGTTCAACATCTTGAACAAATCCCCCAGCGTTTCATCAAACACATTAAAAAGTGCTCGTTTCCTTGGTTTGCTAGAAAAAAGTGCTACGATTGAAGGTTCAGGATTTTAGAACATTCAATTTGAATAGCTTTAAAAAGCGTTTTGATGCATATGTTCGACTCTGAGTCTCGGACACGGAGTCCAGAACTCCCTCTGCCCACGCAGAGCGAGTCGCTACCCGTTCTCTACCTGCAGGCTGCCCGTGAGAGGGTTGTGAGGGATGCCCAGTGTACGCTCGGGGGATGGGGCGTGGTGGCATGGAGTCTGAAAGGGGTGCTGAAAGGGGTGCCCTATTTGGAGGATAGGGGTGCCCATTCTCCATTCAGTGGATTTGGATTAAAAACCACCCCAACATGTGACTCCTGGTGGGTGAATCTGAAAGCAATCATCCTAGCACCGCTGCTGCCCAGGAAGGCTTGATTGGTGGATAAGGCTTGGATGCTTGCCCCGTCGGAGAACCCTGACAACACCAGTGAGGGAACGCGTTGAAACCATAGCCGTCCATATCTAACTCTCATACCCCAGTGGTCCTGACAAGTTGATTGGATGAGTTGGAGGGTTGACCTACCCTTTCGATGCTTCTTTGAGCAGTCATTATTGAGAGTCCAGTGCTTTTCAATTCTCACTTCACTAAGGTTACCTCCAGGCAATTAACTGAGAGTTCTAACGCATTACAGGATCATAAGGACATTTATATATCCACCATCAGTGCAGCCAGAATTGTGTAAGGGGACTGTGCAAATTAGCCAGTGAGCCCTTTGATTAGGAGTTTTCCAGTATAAGGTTAGGGAAAGGTTTGGCGTTTGGACCAGTCACGCAGGATCGGCCTATGGCTCAATAGAACTATATTAGCCCTTTGTATACCACCCTGCCCTACAATTGCAGCTCCAATTGCCACCACCATGGAGCCTTCGTTTCAGGTTTGATTTCAAGGTTTCCCAGGCCATTCCAGGTCTCCTTTCGCCCACCAGATCTTCCCGAAAGCGCCAGGAGCAATTGGTAGCGCACTCGCGTGGGCGCGACAGTGAGGGAGCCCAGTGAGAGCCCAGTGGAACAAGGCCGAAAGCTCATTGACCTGCGACTTGGGACACTCCTGAACAGGCCTTCTGTTTGAGATCCAGGCCTCTTCAGATGAAACGACCACAGTTGGTGGAGCTGAGCCATTTTCTAGAGTGCGTGAGGCGATCTGGCTGGCGGATATGATGGCAACTATAATTTACGCCATATTCCAGCGCTTCGCAAACCGGTGTGGACATAAGAGTTGTAGCTGTCCTCGTTGGTCATTGGTATTGTTGTGTTGCGCGCGCCAAGAAACGATGAACATGTGTGAAACAAACTTAAAGAGTATTTATATACATGTATTTACTACGTAGTTTGTATGCAAAAACACACGTTTGTTTTAACACTGTGTCACTGTGTCTTATATGCTGCCAAAAAATTGACAATTACGCGGTTTTGAGCATGCTGCTTCACAGTGTGTTTCATTCAACGATAGCAAAGACTCCAAGGACACGGTAGTTTTGTGATGCTTTTGTTGTTTGAACGTCGCAAACTTTATCCAACAATGATCCAACACCACATGTTGGGGGCTCCCAATGCCAGTTTGAAGGCTTTTGGCTTGGCAAGGCTGAAAGACATTGGTATGTACAGTGTTAGTGGTGCTCCGTCGAGCCGCAGCGACCAGGTGCCAGTGGACATGAAGTTTTCGAGGAGAGGATTGAATTGAAGGAGTTAAGTGAAACGACAGTGACAGAGGGCTGTTCTATTTTTGTTTCCCGCCCTAAGAGTCCTTCGGCCCTCCATGGGGTCGGGCCCTCCATAGTAGAGGTTTGGACCCTCATAACCTTTTCCATTTGAGCGCGCGGATTCTTAAGGGCAGAGGTTGTATTACACCATTATATAATCGTACCATTAATTAAACCACCTTGCCTCCCTCAAAACTCACTTTCGCAACCAGCCAGTTGCGCTAGGTGAGGTGCCAATGCATTCCCCACAGCAGCGGTTCTGGGTTGCGCATGCCCGTTCCAAAATGGATGCTCAACGGGCTATTGCTTCAAATCTTTTCAGGTCGGACCGGGGTGGGGTAGTGGTACCAGACTCGACGGAAAAAATATATATGAAGACTGCCTGACGGACAAGCAGAAATCCGATGCCCGCTGGAATGACCCCAAAGGTGAAATTTCAGTTGAGGCACTGACTTGGTACTTGTGCCAGTACCAGTCTTGTGTCGGGCACGCCAGCCATAGATACAAGGAGCCAAAATAACTTTATAAAGCAAAAACAAAGCAAAAAAAACAGCAAAAGGTAAAGCAAACAAAAAAAAGCAAAAAAATGTAGCTGTGCGTATTTGTCGCTTTTTTTCACATTTGTTTCGCTTTATTTTCGCAGTTGTTTCGCTTTTTGTTTTTCGCTTTTTTCCTAGGAGGGTACGGCAAATATTGCTGACGGGTAAAGTTCTCATAAGTGCAGAAGTCGGCAGAAGTGGTACCAGGAAAAAAGCAAAAACAAACAGCAAAACAAATGCAACAACAAAGCAAATTGCGCTGCTTTTGAATTTTCATGTGCTTTTGTTTTGCTTGTTTTTTTCGCTGGTTTTTCACAAAAAATATTTGATGCTTGGTCATGTATGGCTGTCACTGCCCAACATAATACCAGTCTTTGTGTAAGTGAGGAAGTCATGATGATGCGATGGCATGAAAACATCACACCTCCTCCAATTTGAACCGAGTGAAAGATCATGAAAAAGGATTGAAAAGAACTCTCGGGAACTAGTTGCAACAGAACCTGCTCCTGTTCAGCCAACTCGTGCGCGAGGACCTGGCCAAATCCATGGCGGAGCTCACCACCGGGACCGGACGAAACATCGCGGACCGCATGGACTCTCCAAAACAAGCATCCCCGCAGTGGTTGCAAATGGTTTTTGGTGTTTGGGTGAGCAGATAGTGGGCACCCCTACCCCAATAGACACCCCTTTTGAAACACTTGGTGCAGGTCCGACCTTTCAACACCTCCAGTTTCGAGTTACTCTCCCTTGGACGAACAGCTGGCTGTGGTTTGACCTCCATGGACCCAAGTCCTAAACCCAGAACCTGAAGGGTTGGCCTCCCTGGTAGTCCATTCAGGCCCATTCTGTTCATTACAGTGCTGTGCTGTATGTCTGTTCCACCGGTCCACCGGCTTGGACGTCACAGAAACTGTATTGATCGGAGACACCTATTCATCGTGAGGAACCGCTTCCACCAAGAGAGGTTGAACAGCCCTTTTCAGCCCCTCCCAGATGTACCACTACAGGGTCCTATATGGTCTCTCAACCTCTCTTGGCATGCCATTCGGAGGGGGGAGCATCAAGATTTGCCCCAAGTTTGCAACCGAGCCGATTCTGAAAGCCCAAGGCATGTTAACCCAGCCAGCCCAGAGGCCGACGACATGCCTTTGTTTTACATGTTCCATCATGTTCCCATTCACCGCATTTCTGGGAAACCTGAGCCACCGTTAGTGGTGAACTTTCATCATTTTGTAAGGGTCTCGCTGTCTCCATCATGGAAGCTATTCAGCTACTCTTGGATGAACAGTATGTTCTTTTTCCACTGTGTTGGGCTTCAACGGGCTGTTCTAGTTTTGATTCCCGCCCTAAGAGTCCTTGGGCCCTCCATGGGGTCGGGCCCTCCATAGTAGAGGTTGGGACCCTCATAGCCTTTTCCATTTGAGCGCGCGGATTCTTAGGGCAGAGGTTGTATTACACCATTAATCGTACCATTAATTAAACCACCTTGCCTCCCTCAAACTCACTTTCGCAACCAGCCAGTTGCACTAGGACAGCTCCGGCACCCAAACGATCCTTGCAGCGAAGTCGAACAGTGGCCCCGGCTGAAGGGGCTGAGCACGGGTTGGAGCCAGAAGAACGGCGAACGTCTGAAATCATGTGGTGATGTGCGGTGTGTCCTGCGCTGCCAAGCAACGAATCTCGACCTTTCCGTGACACCCCGAATGAGTGCTGGGCGGACCAGTGGTGCGGGATTTCCTCATGGAAACCAGCATGAGAAGCCGATGACGTCGATTCACCTTCAACTTCTTAGTCAATTGGAACATCAAGCAATCATAAGCAGTCAGAGGAGTGGCAAGGACGTGGCAGGGAGTCCATGTGTCGTTCCGGTACAAGCACCAACAATTTTGTTCATGTTGTCAACGGAAAAGGACAAAAAGATCTGAAGTCACAGACGAGTCGTCTCGATTCTTAAAGGGAACAGACCAGCCTTTGCCTTGACAAAAAAATGGGTGAAATCTAAATCATCCGTTGTTTCAACCTTAATGTGGGATCTCATCCTTCCCTTATTCTTCCTCATTGGACTAAAAGTATGGGTTCTCATAGAAATACTACCAAGGCACACAGTCTGGTTTCACTGGTGGTGGGCAGGAAATGGCATCTCATGTCTCGAGATTGTTTGGGGATGGAAGTTCAATTGCATTCCAGCTTGGCACCAGAATGCTGGCCGAAAGCTTTCAAACTATTATTGAATACCGTTTGACTCGATCAGAAGCACTCGACAAGGCTATTGAAGTCCGGAGGGAAGGCTGTCGTCAGCATACATTCAGACATGATGTATGATGGAATTGATATGACTCGATGCATGCCTTCTTAATTTCATTTGATCAACTAAGATGAACTAGGAAAGGCGGTCATATCAAAGCCACTTTTCAGGGAGGAGTGTTCAGGTTTTTAGTGACTCCACAGTTAGTCAACCCCTAAGCCCTAAACGTGTGAAGTTGTAATATGTTGAAACCATCATTGCTTCCTAATCAATTCAATTGAGTGGTTCTTAAATCGCAGGTTGACAGATCAGCGGGCGCCCTAGCATGTAGGCCCCACAAGTGTTGCGTGGGCGCCTTGTTGAGGTGGCTGGCCCCAACCAGCCAGCGAGAGAGGCGAGACGAGATCAGCCTTGATAAGCCAAGAAGTCATCCCTTGATCAACAACGAAGACATGATGTTTTCAGGTCACGCCAGCGTTTGGAGTCAGTGCTGCACTTCTTGCCAAACGTCGCGAAGGTGTTCTTTGCAATTTCAGGTTCCTTGCTTTGTTGAGAGGTGGTTGCTTGCCGACCCCAGACGTCCACAGAATGCCAACAATTGAAGTCGACGTGGCTCCCATCCTGTTGGCCCGGCACATGAGAGAATCACACCAGAAACCTCATCCCTCGACGTGCAGACGGGCGTGAAAGCCAATTCTTTGGCCTGGCAGTACTGTACATTGAGCATGGGAGCCGGAAGTGACACTTGACTCACAAGGCAAATCAAACCCGCCCACTCAACCGGTGTTTTTCGTGGCTGAATAGGCACAGCAGCTCCTGCCCGGTTCCCACTGGAGGAGATGGCAGGTCGTGGCCGTCAGCTCCGCAATCGCCGCTGTCGAGCATCCGGTCCTGTCCGTCGTGTTCCACGCCGAGCAGCTCCGGCGCGAGAAGCTCAGACCGATCACTTCGGACACGAGTTTTGGAGGTCCGCCTCTTAGGCAGGTCGCACCACAGTGGAGTTGGGCAGTGGCGCTGGCACGCTCCCACTTGACCCGCTGGCACGCGACCCCAGGGCGCGCCGACCGCGGTCACGGAGAAAACGCGTGTCCTTCACCCCCAAAGGCGGGTCGATTTAGTAGGTCATAGTAGGTCTATCAGGCTGTTGGACGAGCAAGCGGAAAGCATGTAAGGCGAAGTCATGAAGTGCAAATGGTCGACAACGTCGCAGAGCTTCACAGTTAGTTGACTTAATAGTTGAACTCTCACTTGCACTAGAGTTTTTGGCCTTGTCCTTATACTCCTTTCATGTCTGGAGTTTCGGTTTTTTGTTGGTCCGTTGCCTCACAAGAAAGTTTTTAATAGGTGCCCCACGTCACGACGATGTATTGGTTGGACGAACCTCCAACCATAACAACGCAGTTGGACCACTCAATGAATACGTTGTTCCCCGTGGCACGTTGCACTGGTGTGAACTGCTTGGGTCTCGTTCTACAACGATCATCTCGTGGCTTCCAGGCCAAACATCCACAGTGCCGGCAGCACGTCCTCACCTACCAGTCACATCGATCTTCAGCAGACCCTTGATGTTACAACGGCACGGGGGGGTCCTAGTCACTATATGTTTGAGAACAAGTTGCCATAATGGGCAATAACACCCAAAATGAAGACAATTCCAATCCAGTTTCCAAACCCTATCCATAATGGGCCATAACTCATAACAGCATAACATTGCATAAGTCATGGCATACCATGGCAGAACCGTTCTTCTTGTCACCTCAGTAGCACACCGTTCGGCCCGGATGCCAGCGCATCTCCGAGGTGGGCACCATTGCAGGCACCGGTGCTGCGGCGGCGGAGGCGAGGAGAAAGGGAGGTCCGAGGGCACTGGGTGGGAGCATCAGGTCGTGTCAACAAGTAGCCGCTCGGAACTGTTTCAACGTTTCAGGCCCTCCTTGCCGGCCGTGGAATTTCGGCCTACGGCCTGTTGGACGATGATTACACTGCTCCAGTCATAAAATCTTCATTTCATGTGGCAACCGAAAAAGTGCCTCCTGCCGGGACATGGCAGAATATGGCAGGATGCTCCCACTATGGCAGGATGCAGAACTGGTGAAAAGAGAGTCCTTTGCGCTAGCTATTGCAGCTATTGGTGATTCGACCCAAGGTTTCTGCATATGTTGTTTCAAGACGACGAAGCCTTCAGCGATAGCAGAGAGACGCCGCGACGCTGGGGCGCCCCGAGGCTCTCTCCAGCATGAGAGACGTGGAGGTCCGGGCGCGTGGGCTTGGTCGGAGCACCGTGAACCATGGACGAAGGGACATCGGAAGGTGGAGAAGGGCGTTGTGATTTTGAATGATGCTGTGTTGTACTGTACCAGGACCATTCCATTCCGGTCACCCACGGACTGATGACCAACTGAGTCACTGGGCATCCAATGGACTTCAGGTTCTTGTGAACATGTGTGAGGGATTTGCATAAGGGACTTTGAATAGGGGTACCCTGGCACCATTCTCCACACGCTGGATCCGTTTGCTAGATCTCCAATCAAGTGAGGTCTAGACGACGGACCATGGCTCTCTTGACCGCACCTGGACCTGAACCATGGCTCTTTTGTCATCCTCTAGGTGGGCGATGTGTTTGGGCCCAGCGGTGGCCTCGGATGGGAAGAGGTTGTCTGTGGGGATTCCGGGCGCCACGGGAAGTTCAATACGACAGTGTGATGAAGAACATGATGCGACACCTGCCGTCAACCTGATGCGACACAGGCGTTCCACAGTTGCGGAAAGAAGAAGCTTCGTTGAAGAGATCCTTTCGAAGTTAAGCCAGCGTGATTCAGTCAGTTTTCTGAAGTGACAAGACTCCCAGGTGCCCCCACGGTCCAGAGCAGTTAACCAGTCGTGTTGGGCCCTTGAGGCTTCTTTAGAGGTCCAGGTGAGTTGCAAAGAGGACCCTCTTTCTTTGTGAAGAGCAAATTCCAAAGAGTGTGCCTCTGACGTGCCTCTGATGTGTGTGTGGGTGTGTTTGTGCAGAGCTCACATCTTGAGGTCCAGCAAGAGATATCATCGACGATGTTTGGAAGATGCAACCCAGACACTCCGACGCTTGAGCGTCGGATCTCTCATGTATGAAGATGTTGGTCCAGGTCCACAGCGGGATGTTGGCCCTGACGAGTGTGGCTCAAGTTGGGCAAACCTGCTCCTTGCAGCTCGGGCGGGGGCACGGCAAGCCTGAAACCAGCAAAGAGCCATGGAGGATGCTGCGAAGCACACCGTGATCCCGGAGATCCTGTCGCCCGGTCAAAATGAAGTCGTTGGCCAGGTGGACCATGGTGGAAGCTGAGCGCTCTTGGCAAGGAGGACACGTCTTTGTTTGTTTTGAACTTGGGGTCATAGAGTAGAGCTTGGTTTGTGGCGGGGCTGATTTGATCTTGCACTTCCTCATCCTTGGAGGGAGTCCATTCGTAGATGTGGGTCATCAATTGAGTGAAGAGTCCATAGACAGGGCCGACTGCTCGTACCGAACCTGGACCCTTGTAAAGGCTTTGAAGGCTGTCGGCCCCCCTTGAAGGTAGCTCAAAGGAGTCGATCTTCCGGGAGGATGGGCCGGACAACCGCTGAGGCCGAAAGCCGGCTTGGTCTACTCAGAGTTTCTTGGCAGCAACTCGAGTGCTGCTGGCTGCTTGCTCGATTTTTTTGTGTTCATTCCACCGTTAAGAGAAGGTGCGGATGACGTTTGCTGGCGCACTTGGGCCCATCCAACATTCAATGAGGGAAAGAGTCTGATAGGCTCGATTCAATCTTGGCCAGAAAAGCGTAGAAAAGCCTGTTCTTAATGCCACTGGGAGAACATCTTGGTTCAGTATAAGAGGATGCCGTGGAGGGCGAAGCAGTCCCGCGGCTGTGTTTAATGTAAGTCCTGAGCAGAAGTAACATGAAGTAACCGCAAGAGGTTGATTCGTCCGACCGCTCGTAGTGAAGTGGTGTGCTGATATATGTTACGTTGCTGCGCAATTGCCTTGAATGTTAGCTGGCATCGGAAGCACTGACCGTCAGTGCAAACGCCCTCCCCTGGGGAACCTCCTTTGACCTCTCACAGCGCTGGAATGTCTCAGGAAGGGCAACTTGTCAGAAGTTCTTTGCAAGCCGAAGATCATGCCTATCAAGTCGGGGTCTGAGCGAAAAGGACCAAGGTTCCTGGCTAATTATTCAGCAGAGTTGAACCACGTATAACCTGCAATGACCTGCAAAGACAACTGAAAGGAATTGGAGACCACTAGGAAGTATCAGAACGTTTCTTATCCCTTGGAAGTGGCTAGGCCTTCCTTTTCCAACACATCCCTTCTAGGCCTCCCTCCAGCCTAGCTGCCGCAGGTTGTGATCTGCAGGTGATGAAAGATGAGAGAGAGAGAGAGAGAAATGGCGCTCTACAGTCGAGCTGAGAACCTGCAGCCTCAACAACAAACTCCACCAACCTTGCAAGAACGGTTGAAATGTGTTTAGTGGTCCCACCATCGATGAGAAGCTTTCCAATGAGAAGCTTCCAAGGTGATTTATCCTTATGACTTATGACATGCTATGACTCTCAATCGGCCCGTTATCAGGTCGGCCACGCTTGAACAGATTGAACAGATGGAGAAGGAGTTTCAGGCGGTGTCAGCGACAGAAGGGGCGTTCTGTTCAGATGATTCTTCGTAGCTTCACTGCGTTGGGAGAACACCATGCCACCTCCAACCTCGCGATAGATGAGCAAATGACAATCATGTAAAATCTCACTAAAACAAGACACTCAAGACTCAAGACACGCTGTGTATTCGCCCCCTTTGATCTTCTGAAACATCGGTTTCTGAAATAGACCCAAAACCAATGGCTTTTGGTCGCTGGCTTCGGCCCCACTGCAATTCCAGATGTCCGATTCTGTTCAATTATATATATATATATAGTTATATAATTATATATATTGTTCATGCACTTCCTTGAAGGTTGACTGCATCTCGCAGCCCTTTTTTGTTGTGAGGGCCTGATGGCCTTGAAGACCTCCCGTGAAGGAGGAACCCCAACCAAAGAAGCGTTGAAAAAGAACAGCGGATCTGTTTTGTGCATTTGGTTTGGGAACGTGTGTTTTCGGTCATGTCCGCAGAAGGGTATCAACATATATATATATATAAAGTACCAGACACTCCATGGGACTGCCATATATGCCTACATTGACCCCTCCCTGACACCACCCCAACTGATCGGGAGTCCTATGGCAGTCCCATGGGTCGTGTCTGGGGTATGTATCCGATGCGAAGAGGAGACATTCAAGCTTTATCATGCCAAACAAACGGTTGCATTTGACCCGCCGGATCACAGACATCCGGGGCCCTATTCTCCTTTTGGGCCAATGGGTGATCCTGCAACATGTGTTTTGTGTTTAATTTCTCCCCATAAACCATTGTCATGTTGACATTGATTGAACATATGTATTTGTCCATTTGTTCTTCTTGTTTGTTTGTCATGTCCATAATCATCATCGTCGTCGTCGTCGTTTCCTTCTTATTGCTGTTATTCTTATTCAGCTTTATCCCTCTTCACTAGCTCTTTTCATCAGCGGAGTCCCTTGGTGACCCTATTCTGTCTCGAATGGCACTTGGGGAAGCAAATTCCTGTTCCACTTGGAGGTGTCTTTTATCTCGAAGGATGACAACGGTCGAACAGTAGCGCCCCACTTGTAGGGGTTATGCGCGGCAGGAGTACGCGCAGCAGGCCAATCAAGGACAGCAACGCTGAGTGAGCCGTTTCACGAATCGCCATCCCAATGTGCATGTGGAAAAACAGCGTGGCGGCTAGACGAGGTGGGCTATAGGAGTATGAGATAGTGTGGACAGTGTGGACCTTGTGAATCAAGCACTGGTGCAAGATATTGCTCAGTCGCTGCCTCCCCATAGCCAGTGACAACTAGGTAGTGCAGATTAGTGCAGTCTAGTTTAGGATCGGTGTGCTGTAAGAGTACCCCAAGATCAGGCTGAAACCTGCAAACAACGGGTTGGATGCCCACGCAAAGTAGTAAGGGAGAAGTAGTTGGCGTCAGAAGACCCAGTTAAAGCCCCTCAAGATGGATCTCAGATTGACCTCCTTGGATTCCTGGGATTCTCATTGGAGCGCTTGGGCCAGGGGTATCCGTTCACCGATCTCCGCTTCTAGTCTAAGGTCCTGTGAGTGGCTCTGACGTGGACGCCTGAGAGGGACTGGAGGAGCAGGGATCAACTTCCAGACGCTCCAGGGGACTGGAAGATACAGTACGCTCCACTGGAATCATCGATGGAAGTGGATGGCACCACCGATGTGTAGAGGAATTCATGCTCATCCAAGGTCTATTTAGCATCCATGTCTCCACGAATCTCCACGATGATTTCAGGGAGTGAGTCGAGGAGTGTACCTACATTGATTTCTTTTCAGCCACCCCAATGCAGGCATATGTTCCAGTCACATGGAGTGTGACTGGGATCAGCTCAGCGTGCCGGGAGGCGAGGACGGTGAAGGCACCAGCCCCAAATCCAGCCATCTCAAGCCCTGTGGTCGGACATGGACCCCCTGTTTCAGATAAAGCCGACACACGTCTGGAGAAGGGACGGAATGTCCGTAGAATTGCTCCCCAAAATCAGAAGCCCTAAGTCGAACCCCCCACTGATCGGATCATCCCGGACCGCTGAGTCCCAGGCCACGATGCTGCCGGTCTTCGGAATGACCGTCCGGGGCCAAGAAAACGGTGCCGTTTCGCACCGCCAGGGCCTAGCTAGGTTGGAGTGCTGAAGCCTGGTTTGGCTTAAGATGCTTAAGGGTGAATCCACTTCCGGTACCTTCCAGTGAATATGTTGTTTTGTTTTCCCCGGTGCCTGAAGCAAATCCAAGGAAGTCTTTGAGAAGTGGAAGGTCTCTACCCAAACAAGCGTTTTCATAGCAGGCCCTTATGCGTGGGCCCTTTGAGGAGGAAGGAACATTGAGGAATGATAAAACTGCATGTATACATTCATCACATATGCATACTGTTTCCTCATAGGGAATGCACTTTCGGCTTGCGCAGTCCTGGATCGATATGATCGATGCCAATCTATGACATGAGGTTCTGTGAGGCTTGGTTGTAGATCTCCGACTCAGCCAGCACTGCCAGCATAGTGAGGCCAGCACGATCTAAATGTTATGCTGAACCATCCTGAGAACCCTCAAATAGAGGTGCAAACAACAGCATGAACAAGCACGAAGAAAACACTTCGCTCCACTTACACCAAATCCTTTGGGCAAAACCGATCAGGGCACCTGGACAATCCAGTCGGGGTGTTTGGAGATAGTCCATTGGCCAGTCATCGGACGGTATATTGGTGTTGTATGGTGTTAGTCTGTGTTGTGTTGTTAGCAAGCAGCTCCAGCCCCGCCTCAACTCCACCTCCAGGAACACCTCACTCTTGACGGCAGCACGCCCAACACTGGCCGCAGCGGCCGGGGGGCCCAGGGCGGTCGGGCGGTTTGCGACCAGGGATTCTCTGGGTGTCGCAAGGGCTCAAAACAAGATGAATCCCTGGCAAAATAACATAAGGTGTGTATATATATATATAATATGTGGGTCCGCTGGGGGAAAAAGGATCTCCAATATGTGGGGTGTGTCCTATTGCCTATGAAAAGTCAGTGAACAAATGTAAACAATGAAGATCACTATGTTAGAGAAAAGGCACTTACTAATTGTATCTCTATAATTGTCATAATTAATTAGCTTTAAAAATCATCATCCACTGTTAATGGGATATACTCAACCAAGACGTGATTTGCAGATGCCGCTTTGGGTTTCTGTAAAAGAAGGCTTGAGATTTGCAACCAACTTGCCACGCAGCCGAGAATCGAGAAGACGGCCGAGACGGGTCGCAAAACAGCGTTTGAGTATGAAGGAATGAAACATGTGTCATAAGCCAGCGGACACGGCCGTTAATTCAATCCCTCTCCTTTTACAGATGTTTTCAAGACAGTTGTCCAAAATATTTCAAAATATTTTTGAGTATGAGGAGTTTGTATTATGAAGGATGATCCCCTCTTGCAATTGATCAGGCCAAAGACAATGATAACTATACTCAAACACTAAAACCCAGCTGACAGTCGACCCCTGCAAGACAAGTTGGGCCCCCTTTGGCCAATGTTCCCGACGACACGTCAGGGCGCAGCACAATCTCCGGGCCACTGACAGAGGCCGACACGCGGGGGACTTTCAGATCGGCTCCGAACATATGAAAGCCGACGGAATGAATGAATCCAAGTGCTTAAGCAGAATGAACCCTGCAAAGTGCCAATTGTTTCAGAGGAACCAATACCCTACCAGGTCCTACCACGTCCTACCAGGTGATCTGAAGAGATGTCCGAAGCGTCGCCTTGTGATGTTCCGAAGGCGTCAGGAGGTCAAAGCCCTTTTTTGTGGAGGAAGTTGGGCAAATCCAGACAAACCAATTGAACAGTTCTTCTGGCTCTTTTCGAGCAAAAAACATAATGGTCATGATTCTTTTGTGGCGTGTGCAGAAACATGCAGATCTATTTATGAGACGTTCGATGTATTTCTATGTTGTTGAATTCAATGTTGTTTGTTTGATATTGTTGACATCTCCACACACTCAAAACACCTGACAAAGCTTTGAGCCGCAAATGTTTGTTTGGCAAAGGGCGTCACAGGGTTAGGGCTTTGTTGAGGATGTGTTACAATGCCAT